ATGCATCTGCACAGGGCTAGGTTGGAACGCGGAATAGGGTTGGATGAGTGAAGTTACAGCATCGGATGCCAGGTGCGCGTTGCGATCGGCGCGTAGCTGGCAAAAGGCGCTTGCTCGTCGACCGGGACCTTGTTGGCAGTGCAGTATGTCTGGTAGTCGCGCCACAAGGTCGCTGTCGCTTGATCCGTCGCACTGGCGACCAGCGCTTGCTCGAGAAGATACCGACGCGGTGGCACGTAGCACTTGAAGCTGCCTGTGTCGTGGTTGCAGAACGTCGACGACTTGCCTTGACGCAGGCAATGGCTGCAAAACTGGAAGGCGTACGCAGGACACGTGGCGCACTCGAACCACAGCCCTTGCATCGGCTGGCTGCAGCCGTAGCAGGTCTCACCATGCCACACTTCCGTCTCCAGCTCGTTGTGGTCGAAGAAGGCGACGACCTTGGCCCACGCCTCATCGCTTGTTGGGCTGTACATGGCAAAGGTGGGGTCGAGGAGGAACCGGTACAGCGCCGACGCACTTAAGCTGGCGCCGGCGTCGCCGGGTGGCAAGTTTGCAAGACGCCACGTCAGGGACATCTCTAGGTAGCGCTTGCCGTCGTCGTAGTCGCCTCTGGACCAGTAGAGCTTGGCGAGAAGGGACATCAAGGCGATGTAGCTCGATGTCGCGGGCGCAGAGCAGACGCCAGAGAGCGTCCGCTGCCGTGTAGTCGCCACGACAACGGTGCACGGAGCCGACGTTGATCAATGCAGTGATGGTCGTGCTGTGAAAGGGACCATAGATGCGCTACCGTACCGAGGTGATCTCTTCGTAGAGGTCTCGGGCCTCGACGAGTTGGCCGCGGTAGAAACAAATTAGCGCGAGGTAGTCGCGCGTGAGCAGTGTGTGGGGATGGTCCGCCCCCAAATGTGAAAGCTGCGCGTCGAGGGCCTTGCGGAACCACTGCATCGCTTCGTCGTAGTAGCATTTTATATAGCTGGTCATGCCGAGGATGGACGTGGCGGACGCTGTCTCTCGATGCATCGGCCCGAGGTGCGTCATTGCAATGTCGTACGTCCCACGAGAAATGTCGCGGGCCTCATCGATGCACTTGGCGCTCGCCATAGCGTTGGCGTAAGCATTCCGAACGGAGCAAACGGTCGCGGGTTCGAGGCCGTCCAGGGCCAAAAGATTCTCAAAGATTGTGCGCCACGTGGTCTCTGGCTCGCCGATTTCCAGATACCCACGGCCCAAGAACGTCATCACGCGGGCGTAGTGGTTGTCGCATATGCTGAGGGATTCGAAGAGCAAGCGGGCCCGACTCGCAGCGGTGACGACGTCGGGGATTCTCATTTCTGTCGCGTGAATACTGGCCAGACAGAGATACCGGTGGGCTTCATCGAGTGGCGAGAGACCCGATGCGATCTGCGCCGTCAGCGTCCGCTTCATCCAGTCCAAAATGGTCGAAAAGATGAGCCGATCGACGGCCGTGAACGACGTCTCGGCGCGAATGAGCTCAAAGATGCCGTCGCGATCACTTGGCACGGTGGTCTCGGACGCCTCGCTCTTGATCGTCCCCAACATATCCTTGAGCGCTGTTGGACGAAGTATATCGTGAACGAGGAGCCCCAGTTGACCGGGTGCCATGGCCATCTCGAACCGCGCCTTCATGGTCACAGCGACGTAGACCTCAAAGACGCACCAGCTCCGACGCAAGACGACCGGGTCGTTCCACGGGTGCATGATCATGACGACGTTGCCGATGGCTGCGAGCTGCGTCTTGAACGTCGACGACCAGTACTCGAACGGGTACGAATGCGCGAGGTG